GATGTGGGAAAAAAAGTAATTTAAAGCAGTTTAGCATAAGGCAGCAATATAACAAAAGTGAAACAAAATGAAGGGGTATGAATACTTTCGCAAGGCACTGTGTATATATATATATATAGAGAGAGAGAGAGAGAGAGTCCTAATTTTAAGCCTGTCTTAAGGATATTACACATACTTCAACGGCTAACCATTATGAAAATAATCATCGCCACATCTGTACTGAACATTATCGGTTACATTATATAACTGCTTCCTTTTGAATAAACCAACCACTTTTACCAACTTAAAAAATTAGGACATAGTGGTCATGCCTTAAGGAACTGAAATAAAATATATCAAAAAATAAGAAGTAACAGCACAACATAACAGCAGTGGTTAGAGGTTAAAAAAAAACTCTTACATGACAACTCTGAGCTTTTAAACAAAGGTTAAAGGAATAGTCCACCCAAAAAAATACAAATTTGCTTCAAATTTACTCACCCTTAGGCCATTCAAGGTGTAGATGTTTTTATTTCTTTATGAAAACATATTTGGAGCAATTTTTAGCATTACATCACTTGCTCACCAATGGATCCTCTGCAGTGAATGGGTGCCGTCAGAATGAGAGTCCAAACAGCTGATGAAAACATCACAATAATACACAAGTAACACACAACTTCAGTCCATCAATTAACATCTTTTGAAGTGAAAAACGGGGTGTTTGTAAGAAACAATTCCATCAAGGATTGGATGATTTCAGTTAAAATATGAGTCTTCTATCCATAATATTGCTTTCTCCAGTGATCTTTCATCTCATCTGAATCAGGAGAGAAATATGCACAGATCAAGCACTGATTACAAGCGAAAACAGTTCTAAACAAATATGTTGGTAGATTTTGATGTGAGAAGACAACGGGGGATGGATTTTTCACTGGAGGAAGCATAATTATGGATTATAGACATTATGTATTTTGGCCTACTATTACTTTAAACACAAAGAACAGTACAGGCCAAAATTTGAATTAACTACATATTTTATTTGCTCTTTTAAATTGGAATTACAGTGGACAGAGTAATAGTATAATCATAACAATACAAAATAAATCACAGTACAGTGCAGACAAAAGAAACAAAAAGAAATAAAGTTCTCGAGGCAATACGTGAAAGATCTGAGTCAGAAAAGAAATATCCGGGTAATCTTACTAGGACACACCAGCTATGTGCAGTGCATGGGCAGGTCATAGTTGTGCCATCTGTACCCTCACATCATTGGCACTGGCCCCCGTTGGCACCAGAGACCCCTGCCTTTAAAGAACAGTCATACAATCAGAGTCAGGGTCCTAAAACACAAACGGACCCTAACGCGTGTATAAGCACAAGGTCTTTTCCTTTTAATTGCAGGAAGTACTGTATTACCTCAATGTGCTGCTTATAAAGACCTAGAGTTTTACCCTATAAGATACAGGAGACTAAAAACAGTAAAATGACTCACATGCACTTATGCAGTAATGTCGGTTCATTCTGATTAACTAATTACACTGCAGCCTTTAAGGGCCTTCAATTCCACTTGGAATGTGTCCTGATACTGCTGAGAATGATCGTAGCAAACTATGTTGTTTTACCTAGGGCTGGGGTAATTGAAGTCAAGGGGCTCGATAACCAAAATGAATTTTCCAGCAAATAAATGACTTCAGGGTTGCAGACTAAGATGCTGAGGTCTACAGTATTCTTCCACTCCGAGGTCACCTGTGGTGACCGTTATACAACATGCATTATTAGTTCAGTCTTTACTGATATTTTGTGTCACACTGAGTAAGTTTTATTAGACAGCCATTAAGCGAAGATGAGCATCACAGCTTGTGGTAGTTTCTCCATCTGCTGGACTCAAGACAAAGACTTTTTTTGTAGGCTAAAACACATAATACATTCATAAATTATCACACTGTGTCTTAACATTTAAAAGTCTCACCACTTCGCCACGTAGATTAAAGGCTAACAACTCGATTTAAATGACTACCACAGAATAAATACAAGTTACAGGTCTTAAGATCATTAACTGTAGTGGCGGGAAGTCGAACCGGGAGAGATATTTTACATTCAGTGCAAAAACAAAAAGAGAAAGTCTCCAGTCTATTCCCTAGAGTGCTCTCATGTGATGTGGCCGTCAGCTGGCCGCTATTCACTGCTGCTGTTTTTCCTGTTCAGACTTTAACGACAGAGCGTGAGCTGCAAAAGTACAATGGGTTTACGTTACTTTTAGAGGAAGTCTCTATTCCCTCGTTTCATACTGAATAGGTCTGTGGTAGTGTTTCAAAGAGAACTTGTGCCTGTTTGCTAAAGTACTTTCCCCTCTTTTCGCATTATGACATCAATTATTGTTTTTACAAACTGAACTTTTGCTATTCGAAGACAATAACTAAAAGGGCTGGAATACAAAAAGAAAGGATCTGTGTTAGACTACACTACAGCGTAATTCTAGTGTGTGATGAAGGCCTTGCTGCACTGGCACGGGTAGCTGAAGAGGTGCAGCGTTTTAAGCACATGCGTGAAAAAAAAAAAGTTAAAAAAGGCACTAAAACCACTATTCTACCTCGAAGCACGTGATGGTGAAGAGAAAACAGCGTGGTAGCTATATGCCTTAAGGCCTCTTCCACTGGCCTGATGGTGAAATCAAGAATGCGATGCACCCCGTGCCAAGTGCGTGAAGGAAATGTACATGCAATGTAAACCATACTTGGAAGATGGCTGAAAGGTGAAGACTGTGGTCTTTGGGCCCTAATCGTCATCGAACATCTATCAGGTACATCATCTCTCTACAATCACAACATTAAATATAGCAAAACCTCCAATACTGCACGTTTTCTCCCCTCCACCCCAGTGACAAGGGGGCTGCTACTGAAGACATACATGAGCGAGCCTCACACGTTTGCGAATGAAATGATATATTAAGACATTTCAGTGAAGATCGACACAGATGATTATTAAAATTCTGCAATATAAAAGCCTACCATGGCAGGAAAAAGGAAAACCAACTTAAAAAAAAACAAACAACAAGCTTAGTCCAGACTGCAGGTGGTGACCCTTTGAGATTCCAGCTTTTGGAACCAGCCTCTGTGCTCAAGCCTAGTTGTGCAGCTGCATCTCAGACCCAAAGCAGTCTTGAAGAGGAGGGGAGGAGGGGGTGTTGCAGGTGGGTGGTTGGAGGAGGGTACGGGACAGGACTGGTGCCGCTAGATGCTCTGGCAGCACTGCATCTTTGGTTTATTCTCAGTAGGTTGCACCTGGATGGACACCACATTGTTGCTAGGTGACATGTCATTGTCTCGGCGGTCAGACATCTGCTTTTGGGACACGATCCGGTAGATTTCTGCAGGACAGAAAGAGATATTGATGCCAAGACAATGTACGGTGCCAACAATCCAGGAACTGGTAATGCATATGGACTTTGTGTTGCCATAAAAGCCTATAAACCCTACAGTTATTACTGGATGTCAGGGGCGAACGTAGTTATAGCATTGCAACGAACTGCGATGCTTTTGAAACATTTATTATTTGTTCCTCCTCTGCAGATGCCAGGAGTCGAACAGAGGAGCAAAAGAAGATGGAAACTCTCTATTGCAGTCACGTCAGGCTAGAGAAACCTACCCGACCAAAGCAGGGCTTTTGATGAGTCATTCATAAGGATACGGCCTTCAGCCAATCATTTACAATCTTTATTTTCCTTTTAGACAAACCTACAGTAATTTCCTGTTTAGTGTGTATTTCCTTATTCATGCATTCCTCATTAAAAAAATTAAAGTTTAGCATCCTTAAACTTGCACTCTAAGTATCCGCTGCGTGCGCTGAAACACACTTTTTCAAAGCACACTCACCAGTCAGGATGGTCTGAAAAGCGGTCTCGACATTAGTGGAATCCAAAGCTG